TGAGAGAGAGAGAGCTTACGTGAGAGAGAGTCGGAGAAGAAGGGATTGGGGCTGTGGGGGGGGAGGGAAACAAGTGCGAAAAGGATCGACAAATAGTAACCGAGGAGCCTCTTCCTTTGTTTTTCTTGATTTCCTCTTTTGGTATATATACTAATGGAAAATAAATAAATATATAACTTTGAACTTTTACAGAATTACTATATGTTTTCATTAAAATTAAATACATACCTATCTAAAAAATCAAACATAATAGACTTTTTAAAAAGAATCTTAGTTAATGTGATTATTAGTTTGTATTAAATCAACTAAAATAATAAAAATTAAAAAAGTATAAATCTTTAAAAAAATTTGTAATAAGACTATTATAACCACATACTTTTTTTTGTCAACAACTCATTTCACCAAAATAAATTTTGCCTAATGGTAATCCATTGTCATGGTGTGTTACATACAAATAGAAAATCAATCAGTTTTGAATGGACGGATTGGATCAAACAGTTAACCTTACTATTATAAAAACGTAGGATTAATGATAATGAAAACATGAAGATCCTTAGTACAAAGTTCACCAAAAATATTCAAAAGGATGGAAAAAGAAACTATAATTGTGAAAAATAAGTAAGTTAATCACCTCTGAACAATCTGTCTTGAAAGCTTGACAATCAAATAAATAAAAATAAATTTTTTGATGATATATATATATTGTATTCGAGTCAAGATAAAACAAAGATAGTGTTTTATGATAATATTTATAACAGAAAAAGAGTTTTATGGTTTTGCTATTTTTAAAAGTTGTTAAGTAATTTGATAAAAACAGTTTGTCCTAGGTAAGGCTCTCTTCCAGGCCCTTTTCCCAAGACAGCCGCAAACCGAGTCCAAGATAATTTCCTCCCACCGGCGATCCTTTTACGACTAGCCGACGCTGCTCCCTCTCTCTCGGGAATGGATCTTCACCACCGACGTTTGATCTCCGCTGCCGGCATCTCACCTTTGAGCATGTCCTCTTCTACGAAGTCCACCGTGCTATTGTCTCTCCGCCGCTTGGATGTCTCCGGTGAAACAAGNAAACCGCGTGATGGCTTTGGTCGGCTTTCGATCCCAGCCATGGCAAATCGCGTACCCTCAGATCCGGTGATGTATAAGCTCTCTACGGTTGGAGCCTCTGGATCGGAAGCCCCGAACTTACCGATGACGGTGGATCTCTCCTGCATGTCGACGTCGCTAGGCTTTCCGAGCCTGCCTCCACCAAAACCGTCGGATCCACCAGAATTAGTCTCGGCCTCTCCGAGCTCTACCTCAAAGCTTCACCATCACCGCGACCTCGCTGCTCATCACCACCATCGACGGGTTCTACCCTCAACCCTTCATCCTTGGCCGAGATCTCATGGTGAGATCTCTTGCTTTATCATNTNGGCNACTGAGNTTCACTCGGACTTAAATCNGTCACATCTTTCGTGGCNNTGGTCCTCANGTTCTCCGGGCTCACCGACGACAAAGCTCCTCCTCCGTCATTTGGACTTAAATCCGTCACACCTTTCGTAACAGTGGTCCTCAGGATCTCCGGGCTCACCGATGACAAAGCTCCTCCTCCGAGCTTTATATCCTCCCCCTACCGACGCTGGAATTTTGAGCCAGTATCCCTCGAAGCCCAAGCAGGACTTAAACCCGACACACCCAATCGAGTGGTGGTGGTCCCAGAGGCGACTGAACATTCCAATGACCGGATTGCTCCTCCTCCGACATGTAGGTGGGGCTTTCATCTCATTTCTATTGTTGGGCCGAAATGAGGAAAATTACTTAGTGGGTTTGGTTTGGGATCTTTGTTTAGAGGGTCTGGCCCATAGTTGCTTGTTTTACTTAGTGGACTTCCACCTAAGGCTTACTCCAGCTTGTCGTTTGAGAGTAACTAGGAGCACTGTTCTTATCGATAATTTTCTATCATATTGTGTCACTAGTGCCATATTTTGGTATCTAGGAGGTGAGTGTAAATCTAGGAACATAGTTTCCTCGCTGACTCGACCTGAAGCCCAAGGGGCTTTTAAAGAAGGTAAAAGGGCTTTCTCGGTAAAATCTGAATCCTTACAATTGGCTCGAGTCATATATTTTGGCTCGATAGTTTCCAAACACCATGGTTTACCCCATGATTTGTCATCTCTTTCCACAAGATTTGAGTTTATCCGCTTTAGTTTCATCTTGGCATGGCATGCCTTTGTAACCGAATAATGAGTTTAATGAAGTTTGTTGTTGACAAAAACAAAGAGTAATTTGATAAAAACAAAAAAATAGCAAAAGAGGCTATCACATACTCCTCCCGTTCCT